CATAATAAAAGATCAAGTTTAGTCTCATCATCATCCACACACCAAGTAGGTTGTTGCCAACCTATCAAGTAGAAGAAGGCAACGTGCTTGCCTCACCCACGGGAGACACGCGGCCTCACCCGCAGGAGACACGCGGCAACAATGGGAGATGAATTAATTTAGAATATGAAGTGAAATTATTTAGACAATATCGACAAAATAAGGCAAAAACATGAAAAAATTCATATCATATAGTATCAATAGGCATTTAATTTTTTTTCAAACAACTTTTCATTAGTTGCCTTCTTGTCTGCAAGCTGTTTTTTTTTATTGCGGTCCTGGCCATGTAACCAACATCAACTTTATTGAGGGAAATCAAAAAGACTTTTGTTCCATGACCTGAAATTAAATCCAATGGCTTTCCAGGCCTGAAAAATGAAAAATCAAATTCCATGACATTCCAGGTTTTCCATGACCAGTACACACCCGGAGTCTAGCAGCAGTATAGAATTCTGTATAGGTAATATACTATCATGTTAACAAAATAAAATGTAAGAGATTTATGTAAAATGTAATGTGGTTTGAAAACCGATATCAAGTTGGCAACTCCTCCCTCAAATACATACACTAGTCATGTATCCATATCAACAAATTTTTGTAATGAATATGTTCTAAAATAAAAATGACCTAAACTTTTGCACAAAATTCTCATGATTTTACCAATACCAACAAAGTTGTCGAATCCATACGAAATTATGGGATAAGCTGCTAATCTTTCACGGTGTATGGGAACATTGTGTTGCCAAGTTGACATTAGACAAGATGGTGTCAGACACCTTGTTTTGGTCTTGTGAAGTTTGATTTCACAATAAATAGATTTGATCCACATTCCACACTGAGTCATTTAAATGATGGAAAATTGTTTCAAAATTAAAACACCTATTGATATGCTTCTAAATACAAATTTTTTCATGTTTTTGCCCTATTATGTCAAATTTCTCTTAATAACTTGACTTCAAATCCTGAATGATTTTGTCTCCTGTATTTTACAAAATGTCCATTGTTTAGAAGGGGCAATTATTGCATTATGATTTTGATCTTAGAAATTTGTGTTCAAGTACCGGTATTTTAAATTTGAAATGTGATACATGAACAAATTAGACAGATAACCAATATTATAGATAGAATAATTAATCTTAATTAATAATTAAATATAGATTATTGATAGGTTATAATAGAAGGAACAATATTTAAAATGGTTGCACAATTTATTGGACCAGCACTTGAACCAATAAGCACAAAATATTTGTGATTTTAATGCTGAACATCTGCTGCTAAGGTTATATTGCACAAACAATGCGAAACTTATGTGGCTCCCAATGCACGTGTCAGTTCAATGGCTTAGGACCGAATAGACACTCTTCCAGACCCGCATGCCGCAGCAAAGTTGCCTGTGGACCAGGTAGGTCATGAATATCAGGAAAAATTATCTAAAACAGTTTTAAAACTTAGAGGACTAGCCCCTAAAGGAGTAAGCAAGTAGTATTAGTGATTTTAATGCTCATCATTTGCTGAGATGTATATACCAGTCAGCAATAAATCAATGTGACACATCGGCCATGACCCCACATTTGGGTTGGTTTGAATGGCCTTGTCATATATTTCTACAGCTGCTGAGGGTAGAAATAAACATTGAAGGAACATAGGTAAAATTATCATCCATACATCCTAACTAAATGACAGTGATTTGGTAACTATTTTGCGAACTATCTTTTATAATTGGTAATGGAAATGTCTATTTCAGAAATGTTCTTGAATACATTTGTGAAAACTAAAGTTCTGTAATCAATAGTCTTTAAAATGAAAAAATTGTTACATTTAAAATATTTAGTGATACGAGTGAGATAATCAATCAGGGTTGGCGCTTTTTTTTATTAAAAAAAAAAAAATCAAAAATCAATAATTTTTTTATTTTTTCATGATTTTTTTGCTTTTTTTTATTTTTTTCAACTTTTTTGTCTTTTTGAAGTGTTATTTTGTATGTTGCAATTAGCCTACTAACAATAACAGTATATGGATCATAATGGATGGCTAAAAAGGGCACTTAATCTTGAGGAAAATAAACTTTCTTCTTTGTGTACCTCCATTACTCCTTTATTTTACCTCAAAACTGTTCAATCAGTTCTGCCCCACCCTGTATAAGCTAGCTAACACATTTAAATTGTACATTGTAATCAATATATAACAAATAACAAATAGTCAAATTAGCTAAGCGGCTAGCTATGTACAATGTATTGCACACTTGATGCCTCTGTACCAAAAACATTCAATTTATTGGAACCTAATACACACTAAAGGCAACAAGTTTATATACCAATTTGTCATTCATAGTACATTTATACTAAACCATGAATAACAATACCTCAATATAAATTAAAGACGGCCACTCAATATATTTAAATATATGAAAAAATCAAAAAAATCGAAAAAATAAAAAAAATCATTATTTTTTATAAAAAAATCAAGTGATTTAATCACATCATTCACATGATTTAATCATTTTGATTTAATCATTGCCAACCCTGTAATCAATCATTTTAGAAGCTGTAAGAAATAAAAATAGTTGTTTTTGATGTAAAAGAATGTTTTAAATTTGAAAGAAATGCAATACTTGATTTTCATAAATACAATGCAAAAATTAATGATCCCTATTAGAATTCAACAGACGTGATGCTCTAAGAATTTTAATTGAAAAAGTTAGTACCTATTTAAAATTTACGATTTTACAAATTGCTTAATTGAACACAGTGCAGAAATTCAAAATCACTTAGGAGTATGAATTTAAGTCCCATGACTGGAGAAGATTTCAAAATTTATGTTTCAGACTCTACAGAGTCTTATATATGGTAATTTCAACTTAATTTCCAAGCTGGTCAATATTACCCCATCACGGCTGACATTAGGTGGTCCAAGTTCCCCCATTCAAGGCGGAGCCCCCTATTTGCAAACTATGACACTTTCCTCAAATTTGTCATTTGCATACCTATGTAACTAGAAGAGTTCTACTACAATGCACCAAAACCTGGAGTTATTTTACTAAAAAATATACGCAATTGATTTTACTACCCAGTCTAAGATACCCCAAGAGCTGGGGTAACAGGGACAATCACTTTTTTTTTAAATTACAGCAAAACTATGAGAGGCAGGAGCCAGCAATTTATGGTGAGTAAATCTAGAGTATAGACCTGTATTTTGCTTATTTCAATTTAGGTTTAATTTTGCTAGTAAAAAAATGGCATCATTTAAAAAAAAAGTAGTCTAAGTTACCCCCATTAACAGTATTATGGTTTGAGACTTTTAAATAAGTCTGTGAATATATTAGGAATCCTTTAAGTATACTTGTATTTGGTGATTTTAAGTGGTAAATAAATTAATAGATGATTGATTTAAGAGACGGTTTTAGACACCTAAAAACTAATTCCGACACAGGGTGTCGGAATTACGACACACAGGGTGTCGTACTCCGACAAAGGATGTTGGAATTCGATCGATTACAAATTATGATTTTGAAGCGCGGTTGGAATTAGTCTTACAATATGCTGCATTTAGTCACACAGTGTCGGAATTCAGCGATTTTGTAGATTTGAATTCTAAAGGCTTTTAAATAAATATGCCAACAGTTTGTGACGTTTCATCATTGCTGGTGCATACTGCATACTGCATAGTGAGGTGTTTTGACTTTTGAGAGTGACGTAAACCAATCAGAACTCAAGTTCTGCTGTCTGACAGCACAATGTGAGTTCTGATTGGTTTACATCACTCTCAAAAGTCAAAACACATGCATGATGCATGTGTTACCCCAAATAACTAATTTTACCCTAAAAACAGCAAGTGTCAACTGAACATGTGATAATGCAGTCTGACCGCTCTAATGTGACCGCAACTACGTAATCGTAATCTTGATGTTTACATTTTTTTGCCGGGAACTCGTCGCAACTGATTTCTGTACAAGCTTCACTGCATCCTCATCCATCCAACATATCGGAAACCTTAATTTTTTTTAATAGTTGGCCGAAGACTGACAAATATATTGAATGCAAGAATTTCAATCTAAATGTGTTGGCAAGATCTTCTGAAGGCGTAAATTTTGCTACTGAAGCGTTGCCAAAGATCTTGCAATATTCATCCACTCTCTGCACAGTGGCAGTGCGCCCTGGGTTGCGCATACGGTGATATTTATAGCCATTTATTTCTTGCTATGTCCTTAAGGTGTTGGAATATGGTGTGTTAACACTTAACTGTGTTTATCACTTTACCCTAGGAAAATTCCAATCCTGTTTGGAGCCCCAATATTTCAATAATGAATAGGGAAATTCCAATTTTCAATCCTGCACTGTTAGCTGCTGCCCTGCTGGACATTTTTCTAGCTTTCAGGGAATGGAGCAAGTTTTTGGGTTAGATAAAATTTAAATATTTTATCAGGCTTATTAGCCATTCAAAAATGATATACTGACCATTCCAAAATATTGGGCAAAATCTACCTACCTTTGAACATGGGCCAAAAAAGCCCATGCCAATGCTTGTGGTAATTTTTCACCCATTTTTATGACCTTTGCCTGATTTCTTTTAACAAACCCATTTCCACAGCAATTTCTGAAAATTACACATGTAATGCCCATTTCTGCCCACATTCCACAATTTGTGGAAAATTCTGTCCCATAACTCATGATAACTGGCAAAAGTCCATACCGGACCGGGGTACTCCAATAACTCCATAACATATGAGTAATGAATCAATCGTGTACGGTATTAATTTGATTATGGTACTAAAATTAATCTATCAGAGGCATTCATCTGCATAAATAAAAATATAATCAGTAAACACACTAGTGAAAACATTGAAAGGGCATCAGCGTCCTACAGTACCGGCTATACTACCCTAGACTACCTAGTACCTATAATATCTGACGACTGTCGACTGACGCAATAGAATGCCTAACAATAGACAGAATTTTCTTTACCTGGAGGTGGTGCTCTTGAAGCTCGGAATATTTTATATATTAGTACGCAACAAACTGTTAGAAGGGCTAAATTCAGAGGCGAAGACAGAGCTTCCATAATTATTTGTTGTACGAAGTTCGGCTCGGGTTCAGGGTCCAGAGAAGTTTTAGCTTCGCGTCCACCCGCCATCTTAACAAGAAGGTTACTAAGTCTGTCTGACAACACAATTACACAAGTGATCGTACGATCTTCCGCTGCTGTCTGACGCGTCTCAATCACTTGCCCACAGCATCTCATCGTCTGGCACTAAAGTTGACTCAAACTTCATAAGAGTCGTTATCATTATATGGAAATTTCGATTGCAGTAACAGACATGCATCTAAATCAGGAAACAAAATCTGATAAATAGTTTATCCCATTCATTTTTTCTGGTATTTGTTGTATTTATAATTGCATTATCAGATATCAGTTTCTATTTATGTGGTTCATCCTTCATTGTTTGCAAATGCAGTAGCATCTGAAACGAACGCAATAGAAGCGTGGACATACTCGTGTGTACCAAGACTCCACGAGCTACTTTATTTTACTGCAATTTTAACTGATACGATCATGTTTAAACTGATTTGAAATTTCCAAATTTCATATGCTCTTATTTCAGATACAAAATTCTCTTAATTCAATTATTTCACTTAATGCCAGAGATTCATTGGAATCATGAGCTTCTTGCTTTGCTCAGCGACAGCTAGTGTCCACTGTCCACATGAAGGTCGACAAGTGTTGTCGTTTAAACAGGTGCCGAACTTCGTAAGTGCTGTAAGTTTTTCATGACTCATACAATGTCGCCTAATGCAGCTTTTTAACTCTTTGATCTACACATATACTGTCAATGGGATTCATACGTAGTACGGTAGTCAGTAGAGAGTAGTGGCTTGATACCGTGTAATCCCGTCAGTTCCGAAAGAGAAATAGTTTAATTTTTAATACCAAATGGCCAGATTCTGCCGTTGAAGTAAAAATTAATCATTTAGACAAGTTTCCAATGACGTGTGCGTCGTCACAAGTAAAATAATAAAAAACAACTTGTATAGGTTGCCAAGCAGAGCAAGAAATTAGTGATATTATCAGCACCGACTTATCAGCCGGCTGATAAACAACGAAAGAATTGAGAGACCTCGACCCTCCACTTACCACGATTACCGTTATCAAAGCGATGAGCGTAGTGAAAAAATATAGCTGTGCATAATATGCAATTCAAACGAGTATTCTAGAACGCTGACACACTGAAAGATTATCCCTTCAGGAGCAAATTTATCGTAGCTCGAAATTATATCTTTTAGCATAGTTTACTCGAGTTTAACTTGAGCCACTCCTATAGGATCTTTTTAATTTTTTTGTTTTGAAAGATAAAAATAAAAAGAGGATTTTTTGAGAACGTCTTCACTTTATTTCATGCATCGACATATATATTTGAATTTTTAAAATGCCTTTCGAGGCTATGAATTTACCATAATTTATCGCCAACTTGGGGGATAAAAAAGTAAAATAGCTATAAAAATACATCAATATTGAACTTCAGATACCAAAGTGATTATTTCAATAATGTTACTTAATAGCACATGGATGTACGTTATAGTGTAAGTAAAATTTAATTTATAGAAAACCTGTGCATCTATACAGATAGTAACAATAAATATGAAGAATCATGTAAACGGCAACAAAAACAGATAACTTTCAACTAGTATTGGGAAATATCATTAAAAAATAAACGTAACGCTTCAAACAATAATTTCCATGCTCATAGGAAAATGTTGTGTCCAGTAATAGATTATTTGCGCATATCAGATCGTTTAACGTGCAACCTAATCCAGGGCACTATCTTTAATGTTTTATATGTTGCAGAAGTAGTTCAGCCTCTATTGACATTCAATAAGAGCAAATACAGAAGGTGTAAGTGGTAAGGCATGAGGTGTAGCAGGGAAGTTAGGGGAACAGAAACTTCTTTAGCGGCCGTCCAGTCGTTGGCTTTAGCAGCCATGGCCAAACTCTGCAATAGACACCACAAGCCTGCGTCTCCCCATGGTGCTGAGAAAATAAGAAATGTCGTTATGCTCATGAAATGATGACACAAACTATTCAATACACAATATTACATACATATGTCATGAATTTTACACTAGAAATATATCAGAAATTCAATTGTTAGGAATTAAGAAAAAACACCCTTGAGGTTATGGTAACAAGTCCCGTTGAATCACCATTTGAGCAAATGTGTCTCACCATTTGAATCATTTGCTGCAGTCTCTGCAGAATATTTAATAAGTATGCGTTTAAGAACATCAGGAGTGCGTTGAGGAAGAGGCTGAAGGATGAGGAGCAGAAAAAGACTGGAGACTTCGCAACTGCAACAGGAAATCTTGGATTACAGAATTTACCATGCCAGCAGTCATGATAAATTATTTTTAATGGTCAAAGCATCGTAAAAAGAGTCAAGGTAACCTCAACTAATATTTCATGCCCAATACGATAGAAAACACACCTGGAGATAATATCTTGAATGCTGGCAGGGACGTTGTTGAAAGTGTATATTTTTTGAGAGCTGTTTGGCTGCAGATGCCAAGCTACATCTAGAATTTTAATGCACGTCTGCAAAGCTCCATCCAAGTCTCCTGTGTTAGTAAAGGAGTGCAATTATTCATATACTGATACTTGAACTAATACCTTAATGAATTAATATCAATGAAATCCTACCTATTTCACGCTCAAAATCTTTAGATCACTTATCCATGGATATAATAACTTTTCAAAACAAACAATTATGTCAACCACTTATTAAAATCAATTGGTTTACATAACATAGAAAAATTAGGATGTGTGAATATGTTTGTCAAAAATATAGCATGACTTCAAATCTCTGCCTAGTTTAAATAAGAAATGAACGAGTTAAAAACTGTTTTTCTAACCTAACAAGATATAGCAATCATGTAACTGCTGCAAGACTTGCAACAGTTGAACAGGAGTGTCAGAGAGCATGTCAGCGGCGCTTTGTAACACAGGTAGAGCTTCTGAGCATTGGTCACATAGCTGTAAAGTCTGAACAAACATACGGCATTACATGAGTGAATATCAAATGAAAAGATACAAAAATAATCAGTAATAAGTAAGATAACTTGAGTTATTTTAAAGTAAGATGTGCAAAGTTCAAATATATCATACATATAATGATAGTGTATTTCAATTAGAAAACCATTTAACAGCTTGAAATAAAAGATCCGAATATTTCAAGTACAAGTGATTTACACATTACAAATTGATTGTGATCTTGGCAAAAGTTGAAGTACCTAACATCCCATCCTTACCATTTTAATTACTGAATTACCTTTAAAAACTCACATCTGCTAGTTCTACTGAAAGTGCTGCAGGGATGATATTTTTCCCACATCCTTGAATTTCAGACTCAACCATAGCTGATGCTGAATTACTTTCATTTGTTTTGCCAGGTGTGGAGGTTGAGGGCGATTGTTGTCTTTGGGCATTGGTGGAAGAGTGAATATCTATAGCTTTACGGTAGCAAGAGGATGCCGTGAGTAGACTATCTCCAAAACTTGGACAAAGTATATCTCGAGTTGCATGTTCCCCCTGAAAAATTGAATTATTAAACTTTGTTTGTCAAAGTAGCTTAGTAAATCTATTTAAAACAACATCCATGTCCCCTAAGGATATTTACAGAAGCCTCACAAATGTCAATAGATAATCTATTTCATTTCTATTAAAATACCTAAATCAGAGCTTATACAATGATAGGATTACTTTGGCATAATAACGAGCAGCCTGTGCTAATGCCTCAGCTTCAGCATGAGCATTAGCAAGGCTTTGCTGACATCTGGCAATGGCAATGCAGCAGAGCCCTGCTCCAGACCATAGTTCACTGTCAGCAAGCTTGTGTTCCAGGGCTCCTAAAACAAAGAAACAGTCAAGCAAAAACTTTCCCTGTTGAAACATTGATTTGGTAAAAAATTTATCAAATCAGTTGGAAATTTTTTTTTGTAGTTTTGTGATAAAAGATTTTTACTTCACAATTTACAAAAATTTGAAATTTAAAAACATAAGTGAAGTCCAAATTCAAACATTGCAAACAAAAACTATCTGAAAGTAAAAACTTTATGAAAATTTATTGATCGAAAATGTAAAAAGTCACAAACTAAATTACATACACAAAGTAAAAAATCACAATAAATGGGGCCTGTATCAAGCAATCATTTTACATAAATTATCTCCATGCAATGTTTGTAACATGAAATAAAGGCCAGTTTCAATTGGTATAAGAAAAGCAACTTAAGCAAGGGCTGTAAGCTATAGACTTGCCAAATTCTTCAGATGCTTCGGCAACATTTGGCTTGCGCAGGAAGCGCCTGAAACAGAAAAACAAATGTTTAGAAATCCAGCAAAGCCTGTATCATAGCCCTAAATGAGAAGTAACAATGCTAATGAACCATTTAACACTTTGACTGCGACTTGCAAAATAGCCTGTATTCCAGTGGTGCGACTCATTGAAACTTGAATAACTTAAGTTACAGACAAGGCAGCGAGATCAGGGCGAGTGCGCTGCTTTTGTCTGAGTGAGTTCTACAAGCTTCAGACATAAAAACCGTGAGCCTCTATTGGTGCATGTTGCCTGGGATGGAAACTTTCATCTTTCTAGGCAACGTGCGCCATATGAGGTACATACACGGCATTTATTATTCAACTACAATAAAAAACTTGCATCACACGGTTACTAACGCTTGAAAAAAACATTTTCTGTGCAAATGAAATCGGATTGCGACTGCAATAATCAAACTACAAATCATTCTGGGGTAAAATGCTGCTAAATGGGAAGTTTATAATTCATTTAGATGATTTCTTACAAAACTGCTCTAAGCAAAGCATGAAGTGGTACCAACAACTGTTCAAGTTATTGGCCAAAACTGTAGCAAATGCCGGGTACAAAAACTGTAGCAAATGCCTGGGTAATTGCTGAAGTCGTTGAAGATTACTGAATGTATTTTCACTAGTAATAGGTCAGACATGTGAAGAAATGTTTCTATAACCAAATCACAAATTTACTTCTTATGTCTACACTGTGACTGGGCAATGCTTTATTGTCAGGAAAAAGTTTTCCTTAGGAATTGAGGGTCATTTTTGTAGGTGGAATGCAATAATAAGAGGAATAAGAGGTTTGTTTTGCTGTTTCCTCCTGATTTTAATAATATTTAAGTGTAATTAATAATCTATATAATTAATAATCTATTCTAAATGTACCTGGCAACTAATATGCACAAGATTTTGGGATAAATGGCAAAGTTTGTGTTGAATATTTGCTTTAAGAGGCAGGACTTTAAGATACATTTGTGTTGCTAATTTATACTTAGACTGCAATAATTGTGTCTAAGTTAGTTGTGTCTAATTGTGTCCAAGTTGTGTCTAATTCCATCCTGCAGGATGGAATTCTAATTTCGAAGGTTCATATATTATTTCGATCCACCAAGACCACTTTTTCGATCCAACATCGTTATTTGAGGCAAAAAAATGAACTTCTTAAAGGCTTAAAACACGTACGCTAACTTGCTCAGTTTCTATAAAGTACCTAATCACTTGGAAGTTGCAAGTCTGCACCTTTCACTCAACAATTAAAATTAGACTTATAAAAAGTATCAGTTAGTTGAAAATTTGTCTCTTAAGTTGACCGCAATGAACTAATCTTCATTAAGTAATCATTAGGCAGAGTTTTTCATCATGCACAGTGCACACTAAACACGCAATCCAGAGTTCAGACGAGCCAACTTCATATCACGTGAGCTAAAGTGCTACTGAATTGATTGCTTCTTTCCCGCTAACGGTGATCTAGCGGGATGATCAATCGTATACTTAATTCGTATATGGTTGTATACGAATTACAAATTAACTAATCGTTTGTATACTTAATGCAAGAGAATGAATAATTATGTTGTTTCTGATCAAACGAACGAAAACTTCTGATCAAACAAACGAAAACTTCTGATCAAACGAACGAAAACTTCTGATCAAACGAACGAAAACTTCTGATCAAACGAACGAAAACTTCTGATCAAACGAACGAAAACTTCTGATCAAACGAACAAAAACTTCTGATCAAAGGAATGAAAACGACTTTGAATTCTAATACAGATCATTAATTTTAACATCGTATTTCCAAAAATCAATTATTGCATTTCTTTTAATTGAAAAAAATCCTTTTACATAAAAAACAACAAATTTATTCTTACAGCTCCTCAGGAATGACAAATGAATGCTCCTCATATTGACAAATGACGATCATACTCTTATAGCTAAAAATTTTAAATTGAATGATTTTGTCATTTCAAAGACTCCATTGATTACAGAACTTTAGTTTTTGGAAGTGTATTCAAGAAAAGTTTGTGAAATAGTAAAAACATTTCCATTATCATTCTGAAATAGAAGCGTCATGGTATTATTGCAGATTAACTACATCCAAAAAAAAGGGTGTTTTTTTTTGAATTATATGTTTTTTGGGGTGTAGATTACGAATCTGAAATCCATTTTTGGCGGTCGGCATCGGAAAACCGATTTTTTTCCGACCCAAAAATCGCGCTAAAAATGCCTAAAATCTGCGAAATCGGCAGGACGAAAATGATGCGAAGACGAAAATGTTACCCGTTGCACTGCAACGGGTAACATTTTCGTCTTCTTTGTCCATAAATCTGGAGATACATTGCCACATCGAGAGATCACAACCTAACGCCAACTCGCAGGTTGGGTTGGTTCGCCCAGGTTCCTTTTAGATCAAAATGCTACCTAAAAAAAGGAACTTGGCTGACAAAAAAAACACCCTTTTTTTGGATGTAGTTAATCTGCAATAATACCAGCGTCATTTCCGTTCTTATATATAAACAGGATTAATAAAATACCTATCAAATCCATCCAATGTCATTCAATTTGTGATGTATGATCAACAGTTTTACTTTGATTCCTATGATGCTCATTTTTACCGGTTGAAGCTGTAGAATTAAATTAAATTAAAAAATTAAATAAAATTAAATTTTACTAAATCAATATTTATTATTTACTACACTAGATGGTACATGCTGTAGAATTAAATTCTATTAGAAAAATGTTGAATTAAAAATCTGATTATATTTTTTAAATTAAAAATTAATCTTTATTGAATTAAATTGTATTATTAATGCACTATACCATACATGCTCTATGTTTTCTATAATGAAATAGTTTCCCATATTAAACAATGAAAATTTTCTAAAAGACACAAAACGTTCGAAAACGCGGGATGGCAGACGAAATCATTCAGAATTTGAAGTGAATTTATCAAGATAAATTCAACATAATAGGGCAAAAAATTCAAATCTGGAACGTATAAATAGGTTTTTATAATTTAAAAAAAACTTTCAATCATTTAAATCTCAGCATGGAATGTGAATCAAGTCTATTTATTGTGAAATCAAACTAGACACAACCAAATCAAGTGTGTGACACCGTCTTGTGAGAAGTAAACAGAAAACACCATGTGAATGTATGAAGTGAAAGAGTTGAAGTTTATCTCATAATTTTGTGTGAAATCGAAAACTTTGTGGGTGTTGTCCAATCATGAGAATTTTTTACAAAGCTGGATGTGTTTTTTTTATTTTAGAACGTATTCATTGCAAAAATGTGTCCGATAGCCTACAGATAAACGACTAGTTAACTTGATTAGTCGTTGGCAACATGGGATTGGATTTCAAACCACGCGCGATTTTCAAATGAGCTCAGTTCGTCAATTCTCATTGCAGTGGAAGGTGGTGTAACGCGGTGGTAGGGTTGGTATTTCGATACATTTTCTTATATTGACATGAGAATATATTACCTATACAGAATTCCACACTGCGCCATCCTGACCAGTTAATATATTACCCCTCTGGATTTCCACACTGATTAGTCTGTCGTCGAACGCATGGAACTAAAACAAAGCTTAATATAAAGGAAAAACTAAAGAGGTGACGGAATAATTACCCACGATGTCGGAATATACCGCGTTTACGGTTTACCCTAGGGTGTTATTGCTTATTGATATTCAGTTATTGGCTTATTCTTGCTAAAGTGGAAAATTAGGCAGAAACCACCTGTGAATTGGCAAAACTAAAAAAAAGCCTCTGAATTGCTATTGCAGCCTGCATTTGCAGGCCTTCCTGCAATTTCTTCAGAAAAAAAAGGCATACCTTTAGCTGTAATTTTAAAAATCACCCATGAAACGATAGTTTTTACCTGCAATTTTAGGAAACTTCTGCGGTTCTGCCTGCCGCCTGGTATTTCAAATGGGGCTCATTAGGTATCATGATTGAGTCGTTAGTTCGTTACTGTGTTAATTACCCACCTAGTGCGTAATGCGTAATAGGCTATGTATAGAATTTAATAGAAATTAGAAGTAATAGAACTTAAGTATAGGCCCGAGGCCGAATGACCTCAGGCCTGCAATAAGTTGAATGTCTTGAATCTCCATCTCAATTCTACTCACTTTCTGAGCTTAGCCGAAATTATCCGATACTGCTGCAAGTAATCATCATTGTTCTTATGGTGCGTCGAATCCATTTTTCTGACACTTTTGGCATTTGGATTTTTATCTCAAGAATGACTTGGCATCCAATGCTGCGGACTGTCACAAATTCATCTGTGTGATTAAAAAAATTTGTATTGAGTTACTTAATTATTCGTGATAATAGGTCAATCAGAAATTGCCATCCCAAAGCCCGGAATCATTGTGAACATAAAACTAAGGTTACTTTTCAGCTGCCAAAAGGCACAGTCAACATCCTATGAGAAGGCAGGGTGGCCCAGTGGGTAAAGTTCGGTACCATGATTGGCGCAGAGAGGCGCGGGTTCGATCCCACCTCTGTGCGCCAGTTTCTGGTCAAAATCGGTAAGGAAGCTGGGCGGTTGAGCACAGCAGAATTTGTATCAGAGTTGTGAGTTCGGGACCGCAACAAGCTGTGGATGTTCTGCGATGTTAAGAATCGGAGACAGGCCTACGGCCTAATAAACGCCGAAACCGCTATTATTATCATAGGTTTGTTATTTGTTGATGCTGGCAAATTCACTATCCTTCGAGAAGTTTCAAGTTGTGCATTACAATGGCGTACGGGTAGTTTCTTCAACAAATCAAGAGCCAAAATTATTTACTTAGCTCAAGTACACCTCTTGATGAAAAACTTGACATACACCTGCTAAATAATGCAGCAGAATTTCCCATCACATGATAAGATTCGTAAAAAATATAATTAACCTCCATTGCATTGAAATTCAAAAATAACCCAACCTGAAAACGCCGAGTTACAATCGAGTTCGTTTCTAAGTCAAAAAATTATGCCAATGATTTAATGGTATCAGTTAATTAGCTATGCATCCAAATAGATTGTTGGGCTGCCAGCAGCTGCACCACATGTACACTGCAGAGCGACTGCAACAGAGATGTGCTACTCATTATTGCGCCAATTAGGCGACCATGGGCAGTAGGGAATCTACAGCCTTTCTATTTGAAGATCGAACTGCAATTGTCAAAGGTTACTTAGCTCGCGTAAAGGGAAGATTGCCGCCTGACCATTATACACCTAGGCCGCGCGTTACAAGTGCTCTGATACGTGGGCCACCAAACTCATCAAACTAGCGCAAAACGCAAACTTATTCTCTTACATCTCACTTTGCCGCGGCAATTCCTCGTTCAAATGTCGTTTATCTCTATCATCGTTAGAGAGAATCTGTAGTCACCAGTATGAACAAGTATTCATGTGGCCATTAGGCCAATTCTGTAGCGGTCTCTGTGCGAACTAATTAATGATTCAGGTAACGTTGACAACGGCAACATGAGAGCGCATTCCCGATGTATTATTGTGAGTACGTCAAACTGTCTCATTACAGCGGTTCGAGAGTTTCACGTGGACGGCCCATCGCCGAACGTATTGCCAGACTTCAACCTTTACGTTGGGCTAACAGGAAGAAATAAACTACATTGACGCACATTTGTTACTTAGGACTAACTGTCAAAAAGTACTCAACTCAACCGCTTAACAATTTTTGGCAAGTTGGCCCCATAGTGAAATGAGAATAAAAAAATGACACTTGATAAATTTACATAATGCACTACATGTACTTCCTAAAAAATAATATGCTAACACAACTGCATATTTTAGTATTGACCTGCATTTTATTGCTAAAAATACAGCAATACTACATTAAAATAGGCTCTTATACTGATCTCAAAAAATCAACCAAGTAACACCCAGATAAAGCATCTGCCGAACTAAATAATGAAATGTAAAAATATTTCTCAGCCATAGAAAGCAAGTACCTTTTTCTAAGATATATTTCAAGGCTTTTTAACTCACGTTATCACGGGTACTGTGTCATAAATTCAATATATCGGAAAGATAAAATAGTTCCCACTTTACCATCGCAGCGACGGGAAGGTATTCATAAGAGGAATGCACAGTTTAACAAATTTCAAGAGACCAGCGTGCAGAAACAGATAAGAAAGTTGCAGCGTTGGCATAACGAAGTGACAAAAAAGATACAAATTAACCAAGATACTTGTTTAAAATTTTGATAATATGAGACGTTGGCGGCAAAATAAGAGAAAATGAAGGGGGAGAACACCTTGACATTACAATTGATACCCGCAGTCGGACAACGACATTCCGTCGTTGTTCACTTAATAACAATACTCAAATATAAGCACAATAAAATAATACCAGTAACGAGCAAAGACCCGCAAGACGACAGCACTGCACTGCAATTAGACTTTAAAACCTTCAATCAATCTTTTACAAATCTACACTAAATCAATCTTTTATTTTCATTCAATGAGATCTTGGCAAAATTGTAGGGAAGTAGATTAAATAACGAGCCATTTCTAGAAAAATACTTCAACGTTTAAGAGGGAACAGGGAAACTAAGAAAAATTCATCAAAAAGTTTCGTCGCAGAACAAGGAATTAATAGTAAATTCTTCAATTGATTGTGCACTTTGTAATATACCGACGATGCGATCAGAAGGCTCCGAGAACCGTAGGGGCTGGAAGTGCGATAGTAATTTTACGCTGTCGAGAGTAATATTCCCCTAAGCAGGCTCTCAAAACTGATTTGAATGTGTTCCACAGCTCTAATTTATCAAGCTATTTCCTAGAAGTCTCTGTTCCAGACCCTGCTCCCCACCACTGAGCAGTAGGCTGCGTCTACACAAACCCTGCTCTTCGCAACTCTACTTCTAAAGGCCCGTTTACACTAGGGGCAACAACATGGGCGGTGAGGTGCTGCAGCGCCTGACCGCCCACAACCGTTCACACTTAATTTTGTACGCGGTAGCTCGAGACAGGAGACCGCGCGCTTTGAAAACAAGTTGCCAGTAGACGTCCGTGAGGATGGATCTATCCGAGTTAGAGCTCTGGGCCATTGTTCTCGGGGGTGCTGCTGTTAAGAAAAGATGTAGGCGTCACCGTATTTGGGTCAAAAAATGGTTGCAAAGAGACAGGGGGCTCACACAATTACATTTTCAGAGAATTATCAGTTGCGAATGCATCAGACTTTCAAAATTATACTAGACTGCCAGTGGACTTGTTTGACAGTCTGCTAAAGAAAATAATGCCACTCATCAAGAAGCAGGATGATTGAATTGAGATGGAATTCATATGCAATGGAATTCATTTGCAATGAAATTCATTTCACGATGGAATTGCGAACGCAACGTATGAATTTTCTTGCGAACCTCGTAAATAGTGACTTTTACACAAAAGTTTCTTAAAACTTCGACTATTTTCACCAGAGCTTGTTCTTTTGCATTTCGACTCTTATACTACTTTGACTGAACTCTCTACAGGCATTCATGGTCTATACAAAGATCAATTAGCGGCATTAGCCTCTCTACTAGAGCGTGAGTCCAAACAAGTGTGGCTTTAGTTGACATAGTGAAGGACCAGCGTATACATATAACCTCACTAGACCACAGACAGCCGTCTACTAACTGAGTACTGCGTGCAGCGCTTGTGTTGCACGAGGCGGGGCGACTGAATCGCTAGCTCGTCAATAGCTTCGTTGCCCACAATAAGCGCATGTAGACGCCTCACAGAGGGGCGGTGAGGGGCTTGACGCCCGTGTTTTGCCCCTAGTGTGAACGCGCCTTTAGAGGTCTCATGGCCAGACCCTGCTCCATACCACTGAGTAGCAGCGCTTCGTCTTCACAAACCCTGCTCTTCACAACTCTACTTCATAGAGGTCTCGTGGCCAGACCCTGCTCTTCACAACTCTACTTCATAGAGGTCTCATGGCCAGACCCTGCTCTTCACAACTCTACTTCTTAGAGGTCTCATGGCCAGACCCTGCTCTTCACAACTCTACTTCATAGAGGTCTCGTGGCCAGACCCTGCTCTTCACAACTCTACTTCTTAGAGATCTCATGGCCAGACACTGCTCTTCACAACTCTACTTCATAGAGGTCTCATGGCCAGACACTGCTCTTCACAACTCTACTTCATAGAGGTCTCATGGCCAGATCCTACTCTTCACAACTCTACTTCTTAGAGGTCTCATGGCCAGACCCTGCTCCCCACCACCACCAGCTCTCAGCAGCTGCGCTGTGTCGACGTAGACGCTCCTCTTCCTTAGGCGTAAGTTTAAGCACAGCGGCAACGGCTTTCACCATCGCTTGCCGACCGTACGTTGTCGTGGTGCGGCCACCGACGCTCGCACCCTCGCCATTGGTCAGGAAATGCAGCAGCACGTTCTTCAGGTACTCCAAGTTCTGGCTCTCCCGAGATTGGTTCCGATCATATCTGAATCATGATGTGGAATTAGTACGAAAAAATTGAACAATGGTCGGAAGAATCACTTGCCGAAACTGCTACTGTTGGAAACATTTTTATTGATGCAAAGATTACTTCTATTTAAAAGAACTCAAGACCTTAGTCGAGGTTGGTAATGATCAGAAATGAAAATTTCAGTAACACTCGCCTATTGAAGTATACTGAGGAGCAAGCAGTTAACAGTAAAATTCAAAGACAACAAACAAAAAATCATGTCAAGATGCGTGATGATGAGGCACAAGCTGTTCACAAGACCTAATTAAGTATGATTTTCAACAAGACTGGGCTCTCGAGCAGCAGGTATTTTTAGAGGACAATTATACAAGCAAGAATACATAAACACTGGCCTCTCGAGCTGCATCTCTAGGTGCGCCAGTCGATCCTCGTGCTGCAGTCGCTTCTCCAGCGCCGCCTGCTGCACCTCGCGCACCACGTGCTCCAGCTGCCGTTTCTCCTGCTGTAGGGCGGCCACCTCCTGTTCACCAGCGATATTCATCAATAATTTATATTAAGCCTCTTGAACAGTTGTCAAGGATCATTATATATTTCCATGTTTGTTCCTCGGGACACGTTGTAATATAATCCATAAAACGACACTCCGTCTATTATGAAGTACAGTAGAATGATAATACTAGGTGACATTTAAACGTTTATTTGCATATTAAAAAAATTATCCCATAGTTTCAGAATAAATTTTGAGTACAAACTAGAGATCAAAATAAGAGAGATAGAATTTACATAAAACTTTACTTGTTCTCGGCGCTGCAGCTCCTCGATGTGGTGCAGGAGAGGGCCGGACCGAGAAGCCGCAGTGGTGGTGTTCACGAGAGCTTTCGGGACCTTGGACTGTCGAAAACAAAATCAACTAAAACACAAGCTTTCCAATTCCATTTCAAGTAACAAGAAAAAGTATGTTTTAATCTAGGTCTCTGGTGAAAATATTACTAGTGATGGGCGTCAAGGTTACAGGGCTAAGAAGGGCCCTGCCCTGACGTTTGACTGACGTGATAAAATCATGCTACTTAACCAGTGAGCGATCAAATTAAGACAATAGTTAGCAAAGAAAATTATTAAATTAAATATTATTATTCTATCAGACATGAGATTTATCCTCATAATTTTAAGTCGATTTCACGCGCTCATGAGAAATCAGGCATAAAATTTCTAAATAAATAATTTGTTAATTGAAAAAACCAGGCCTAAAATGAGCATCCAAACTAGGATAAAAGAGTAATAAAGGATCTCAAAGGAACAAATGAAGAAAATAAACCTATACGGTTGGTACCACAATGACTGCGCTGCATTGCTTGGACACAACATCAAATAACTTGGGATGACAGAATCTGCTAACTTGATCGTTTAATATTACCTAATACCGGTACTAGGTTGTAGCAGCTGCTCAACAATCACAACCCTAGCGCCCGCTGCACGTTTGAAGGGTACAGGGTATAGTAAAAAATTAGATCAGACAGAAAAATGAGAAAATAAATTTTGTCAACACAATTAATTAAGACAAGTTTGAATAAAAGTACCCGTTAGATAAAATTAAATTCATTATCTGATTAATTAAACCTATGTTCGAAAGCATAGAAGTGAATATATGAGATGAGCATTTCTTACCAATAGACTCCTGCGTCCCGAAATAATTTTCTCGAAATGAACCGGGACAGACGAAACGAGACGAGAAAATTCCGGGAAAAAAATAACGGGACAGAGGGTAAAATTTGTCCCGGAATAAACGTATGAACCGAGACAAGACTTCTGTCCCGGACTTTAAAACTTGTGTCCCGGTAAATTATGAACCGGGACGAGACAGACAGATTTGAAACGAGACATAACGAGACGAGACGAGATTTGTCTTAATTATTTACGACAAAACAAGTTTTTCGATTACCATACGAATCATTTCGAAAACATGGGGTGAAGAATGCCAAGTTAGCCCTTTGTTGCTAATATGGCCATAGACAGTTACCAGTTAAATTGAGTTAATTGCAAATTTAGCAAAATTTGTCTAACTGACATGGTAGTTTAATTAGTGGTCCGACAAACACGCAAACCTGTCGATGTATGCATGGCTGAGTATTGAGTCAAAAATGTTACTCTTCAGTCTTAACTAAGGCTTCGATGGCACTTATGGGAACCGTACGAATATGAGTCGAGTTCATTACGCGTTCGGAACGAGTTCAGGCGCCATGGAGCCCTTAGGGAGTAGGGACGCAGTGTCTAGATTAGTCGGCCAATTAGTAGACTGTGGAGTGGAGTCCTGGTAAGATATTCCTAATAATACTAAAGCTAGTTTTTGATTATCTCAGCCTTTAGTAAAATTTTGTGCTACGCCTCCAGGAAACTTCAAAATTGCGCAGTTACCTGAATTGTTATTAAACGCTTGTTTAACGTTATTTAGAAAGGATAAACATGGATATTTAGAGCTCTTTTTTGAAGATCAAACTATTATATTTTTCCAATTTAAGGGGAGCGTCTGCCCCAAATTTTATCTCAGTTATTTGTCGAATGATCGATTCGAAATTCGGTACACGTATGTAAAACGGAATTCTAAGACTTTTTTGTTTGTGTAAATTTTTCGAAAAAAATAGAGAAAACGTGAAATTCTTAGAAAACGGACAAGAAAGGGGGTACTGTAGAAATCTCTCTCTTCCTGGGACTTTCAAGCTACAACATCGAGACATATATCATTCAATGCGTAAAGACCATATCTAAAACTGATGTAGACGGTTTTTTGAAATTATAATTTTTGTGGGTATGGGAGCATCTTTCATGAATTTTTCGGAAATTTTTTCATTTCATTCCCGCCACCCCTCCCTTTTTGCAGAATAAAATCCAAACTATACGAAATTAGAAAAAACGTCTGCATCATTTGTAGATCATTTATTTGCGATTCGATCGGTATATCTCTCATTGATGTAGCTTAACTCTAGGAGGAGATAGGTTTGCAGTGACAATAAGTTAACTTTTCAGTAGGACCCCACAAAGTCGCACGCGTCTCTAAATATACATTCAAGGGTGTTAGGTTGCAAGACTAGACGATACTGGAGCTCAATTTCTGTCAAGGATGGGTGCGAACGACGGCACGAGAACCATCCCGTACGACTGCAGGCAGATAACTGAAGCTCAGCGTGTTCAGACTAGCTATTTAAGTGTTCTACCGGCAATTTCAGCCTATCTTAAATGTAAAGAACTTCATTACCCCAATCCCTTTTGCGATCTGTCGTGAACGCATAAATCAACGTACAGAGATGGTTTTGGTACCGTTAGATGCATCAGAATGTAAGCTCTAAGATGAGTATAAAAACCAAAAAAGTCGAAATTTTTTATTTGGGGCAGACGCTCCCCTTAAATTTCGTTGTATTTTAAAATGTTGTTGATATTTCTTTTCAGACTTTTTGTTGAAGGAGAAAGATCAAGGTGAGATCGATGAATCTGATTCTGAAATTGAGCTGGAGGCAAATTAAAGTCTCCAGACAGCCGATGTCACCAGCTACAGCTAGGATGGCCTCCTCCAGACCATCATTGAACACAATTATTGGAAAATAAATAACGTGCTTTTCCATTATTTGCCTGTCAAGAATAAGAAACCATATTAAATCACAACATGTATTCGTAGCAAATATTTCAATTGCCGAGCTCCAACCTGAATAGTAAAAGGATACGTCTCAAATTATTATATAAATGTATGATGGTAAGCCAAAGTTTACATCACATCAATAATTTATTCGTCTCGTTATTTCTCGTTACGTCTCGTTAAAATGGCTATAAATTACGGGACATTTTAAGCTGCCTATTATAACCGGGATGTCTCGTCTCGTCTCGGTATCGTCCCGGAATTCCTACGGAGGGCTGAAAATTGTCCCGGTTTTTATTGCGATCCGGGACAGAGCCTGTTGTCTCGTCTCGTCTCGGAAACAAAAAAATACCAAACGCAGGAGTCTACTTACCAATTAAATTTTAGAAATTAGGTTTATTATTTGGTTAACTTGAAATAAAACAGTGATCGAAAACGCCAAAGTGGATATGAGATAAGTATTTCTTACCAATTAAATTTTAGAAATTAAGTTAATTACTTACTTAACTTTAAATAAACCAGTGATGGAAAGCACAGAAGTGATAAGCATTTCTTACAAATTAAATTTTAGAAATTATGTTTTTTATTTAGTTAATTTTTAAATAAACCAGTAATCGAAAGCACAAAAGTGATAAGCATTTCTTACTTGTACGGAGTCCAGCGACGCGCTGTGGAGCTGCTGCTGCAGCCTGTGCAGCTCGACGTCGCGCTCCTGCAGCGTGGCGATGCTGTGCAGACGCTGACTCGTCAGCTGAAACAAAACACGGCAAAAAATTACAACTTCAGATTGAAATAAATACTGACTTAATTAATGTATTAAGGTTATTCACTTATTTTAGGAGTATTTATAGGAGAATAGGAGGTAAGAGAACACCTTTCTCGAAAGGTAGGAGAAAACATGGGAACAAACATTGAGCTAAAATATATTAGGAACTGTCGAGTCCGTATTGTGCAGACGAGTTGCTGTAAAAGCCATACATAAAAAATTTATTTTGAAACAAAGCCTATGGAGAACTGAGTTTAACTCTATGTTTCAAGAGGAATATCTCGATATAAATTAATTCTCTACATGCTTTATAAATACATTTTGTGCTTTACAATTTTTACAGTAATTCCAGAATATAAATATTTGATCTAGGACTCACTCGTTGCAAATTTTAACCAATGCTTATCATTATCACTGAAGTTCATGATGATGACCCGCAATGTTATTTTAATGTAGAAATTTGGCTATGAATAAATTTTAAGAGCATGTGATCTACGGAAAAAAATTACCTGCTGCTCGAGGCTGCAGACAACGGCGCGATGTGACTGCTGGGCGCTCGTGAGGCGTTCTTCACACTCCGTCCGCAGGTTGCGGCACTCCTGCGAAGAGAAAAATTATTGAATGATTTCTAATGCAAACAAGCACACATAAAATTATATGTAAATTTTATGATATGTCCATTCAATAGCGTCTCCGCTGCGTTTCAGAAGTAAATGAAACACCAGAGTTACTGTGATAAATATAAACATGATTCCCTAACACGCCAATACGCAAAATTAGATGACCTACAGAGCTAATTCCGACTAAGTGAGGGAAAATCCTGATCAACTTTTCTAGAAGTAAACTCGAGCAGGAAATTTCGAACCTGTTTGAGCTGCTCAATCTGTTGCAGGTGAGCGGTCTCGCTGGCCTGCGCCGCACTCTTAACGCTGCGCAACTCCTGCCGTAGAGCTCGCAGCTCAGCGGCAACATCCCGCGGCCTGGGGAGAGGTAAGGCAGTTAGTTCTCAGTCTGATGCAGCTGTTACAGCAGCAACATCCCGCGGCCTGGGGAGAGGTAAGGCAGTTAGTTCTCAGTCTGATGCAGCTGTTATAGCAGAAACATCCCGCGGCATGATGATCACGAGAAAAATACTGCAACACGAATAAAGTTCTTTGCTAATTTTAAAGCAGCTGACAGATTGTGTCTGGTAGCATCTCAAGGGCAGATGAGGTGCTAGGAAGTTACTTCTCCGCTGCAGTAGAAGATATATAAATGATCAGGCAGCATTTCTAGCCCTTCGTATCAAAATTTAGCTGTGAATAGCTGGTCATTCGAATCTGAAGTCCACTGACCATTTATATGAAATGGTCAAGTAGTTGAAGGTAATTAGTACCTACACTCAGCCATTCCGTAGAAAGTACTTGCACTCTTCAGAAAATATTCATGGACTAACAATCAAATTTGTCAAAATTTGAAATTGATCAGAGGAAAATAGCACAAACTTTGCGAATCTAATGCAACAAAAATGCTATATACAATGGTCGTGATTCGTATCTATTGGAGGAAATCCAGTCTGGACGTACAAATTTCCAGCAAACTTTCATTGCATATAAAAATACTTGACGAGTGAGAGCCGTCTAGCCAGTTAACCCACGAATCCTAAATCTTCAGTAACTTATCTAGGTAATAGGAAGAACATACTCTCATGTCAAACTTTTTTCAGGCATAAACTGCATCACTTTAAAATTTATAACAAATGATAACAACAGGTAATGTAACACATCAAGATGAGCGCCATAAACAGACTAGCATAATGTAAAGATAATTTTTCCTCCTTCTTCCGCATTATAAGTAAAATGAAGAACTTACGATTGGCAAGACTGTCCCGACGACGCCATCGGTTCCTTGTAAGCTTCAGGTAAACCTGCATCAAAATAACTTATATTACACCGCAAGAATAATGTAATACCATCAACAAATGATTACAAATTATTTTGAATAGGGCTCTTCGAATCAAATAAGCTTGACGCATAATAGACAAAGTACTACAGGCTGAAATAAGGACATGAATATAGTAAACACCATAGGTAAGGTGCAAGAGTTGATACGCGAAGTAAGTGGGAAAGGCAATGAATCATATTGTTATTTAGACAGGGATTTTTTTGATTGATCGTGAGGACTGGCAGAGATAGCTGATCAAAAAGAATGAAGATTCAGTCGCCAAAAATCTAATGCTAGTAGAGAAATATTATGTGCCGACCCAACATATAACGATTTATTAAGAATTTAAAAGCAAAGAAAACGGCCAAAAAATCACCACATCCTATGAGAGATCACATTTCGGAGTCCAGCTCCATCATCAGTTCAAAAACCTAAAACACAAGTACAAAAACTAAAGTCTAGTTTAAAATGCCGCCCTCGTTCATATGCCCTTGAAATTGTAAATAGATAAGTTTGTCTGCTTGTGTTTATCTCATTATTACATTTTTGTCATTTGACAATTTATGTTTGAATACCAGTACCTAAGTATCTTCAATTGAATTATAGTTTGCTAATTGTTTGAACTCATGTTTTAGATTATTGAAATAACAATGGAACTCGACTCCGAAACGTTCTCTCTCATAAGAAACGGTGATTTTTTTTTTGCCATTTTCTTTGCTTTTACATTTTTGAAATAAACAATTTAAACAATTAAAACAAACAAACAAACAATTTAATGCAATTTAAGCCATCAAGTAATCTTAATTCTTTAACAATTTCATCATGGAAGTTGAATATCAAAGCATTTATAGCACACTGCCGATCTCAGAATATGCACAAATGATTATAATGCAAGGTGCAAAGCTGCATACGGAAGCAAAACTTTCTAGTTTGTTCACCAGCATTGATCTCATTGCTGCCGCCGACAGCATCAGGGTGCCAGGAGCAGGTGTCACTGGAGGCGTAATCAGAGACGCGCCGCATTTGTTGCAGTTGCTGCTTCAGGTTCTCTATCTCTTGCTTGCAATGCTCGTGTAAGACGTCGCTCCCGCCCAGAGCATCTGAAAGTTTGATCAATCATACAGAAAATGGAGAATATTCACATGGCTTACGTGGATAATGAGAGCAATTTCAATCAAGAAGGGAAGAGTCTTCTTGAATCTTGGCTCGTAAGTTTAGAGCAAAATAGCACAAGATGACAAGGCAAACGAACATGAAATAACTTTGGCCTTAAGCTTAAAATAATAACAATTGATAGATACAATGTTGTTTCCTGTATTATATATTTGTTGTTTAGACCTAAGATGATACAATATCATTCAAAATGGCTTGCAACAGAAACTTTAAACACAAACTCCTACACGTTGCTGAAAGTTTTAACTGTAGATCAGCTACTATACTACATATGATACAAATTGATAGATGATCCAGTCAAGAGTATTTTTCTCTACGTATGACAAGACTAGGTACATTATATGGGGGTCCAGGTTTTTTGTCGTCACCATCACTTTCTGCTCTACTCTAATTGCATGGGTTCAGAATAACAATTCATGGATAGAATTCCAACTCAAAAAGTAAAAAAATAAATTAATTTAGTCATTGCTAAAACAGATTTTAGCAATGAGATAAAACGGATAACAACGGAAAGTAGATCACAATTAAAGGAAGTGTTAGGCAAAACTTTATCATCTAGTCTTACTGTTATTAATAAATCAATTTTGACAATGTGATACAGCAACAGATGAAAATATGGATTTTTCAGTGCGTGGATGTCAATTTCTGAACAAAGTACCAATTTAAAAAATTGGGACATTCAACTCTCGCAGAATATTAATATTAAATTCAAATTTTTAGGTCATCAAGGTTCTGGAAATTTCTTATTCATAACATAAAATGAAAGACAAAATAATTTCAACACAGAAGTTAAATAAAAATATACTACGTAATCGTAATCGCATAGGCGTTCCACCTTCTAAATCCTTGCGCTGAGCTGAGGAAATGTTCAGGATCTGAAGCTGAAGAAGCAGCTTTTTTATGTGCTTAAGGAGATACGTTGCTTCCTGGTTATCGGCAGTCAGGGCATCGTCGGCGCTGGTCTTGACCTTCACTTCACTGCTGCGGTTCATAACTTCCAACTGACGGCTCAGCTCCAGGTTGTGCTCCGTGAGCTCCCGGACGCGATTCTGCTCACACACAAAATAGTCATGAAAGAACAGTAAAGTACATTAAGAGATGAATGAACAGTAAAGTGCAGGCAGGGATGAATGAACAGTAAAGTGCAGGCAGGGATGAATGAACAATCAAGTGCAGGCAGGGATGAATGAACAATCAAGTGCAGGCAGGGATGAATGAACAATCAAGTACAAGCAGAGATAAAAAATATTTAAGGGATGAAGCTTTTCATGATTTTATTTCAATTTGAACAGTTTTTCACGCGATTGTAAGTAAAAATTAATCTGGCACATGGACCATAGAAAGCTACTCTAAAATGTTATCCTATCTGAGGAGACAGAGTCAATAGTATCAACAATTTCACGTTATAATTCGGAATAAATCACTGCTACAGAACCTGGCAGTGTCGCAGAGCAGCGCTGCTGGAGGAGTCGAGGCCGGTGGAGGCAACACAACTCATGGCCTCAGCGAGACGCGCCTCCAGCGCCGCCTCCCGCTCCCTGCTGGCGGCCACCACACGGCCGAGCTCTGCTTCAACATCCTGCACTCGCAGGCTCTCCTGCAAACATGACACAACAAGTAATAAATTTGAAGCTAAATTGAAGATAAATCGGATATGATACCCCACAGGAAGAGCCTTCAAGTTTATAAAGTTTCAATGATAGCAATCAATTCTATTCGAAATTCGATATTTTGACAATGAATTATATTAATTTTGGTGTCTAAGGGAATGCACGCAATCAGCATGTATTTCTCAACGTGGGTGGAGTACCTTAACACTTGCTTAGATGATAGCTCAACTTTATTTAAGCAATGCCTATAGAATTTGATAAAACTTTCGGTATGGAAAACTTTTACCTGATGTAGCGATGTAGCAGCGGCAACGTGCAACTGATGCAGTTGCTGTATTTCTTCAGCTTTCTTGTTTTCCTCCTTTTCATAATTCGAAATTCTGGCTTCCAACTGGTAAAGATAGAGGGGAAAAGTCACAGTAAAAATACACTAACGGAGCAAGATTACATTTTGGCTTTGTTGTAGAAACAAACTCGGAAAATGCCAAATTTTCATATCTCAAGGGGATAACTCATACTATATCTCTTGGCAAGTTTTAATATGATAATTGGAGTAAGAGTGAACAAAACAATGTAACTTAAAACTCTTCATTGATAAATAAACAGACGACCAAAGCATTCTAGTTTCATCTGAGATGTCACAGAGTCATTCATTTAATATTAAACATGGCCCGAGTATTACATATTCAATCAGACCTGACAGATGACGTTCCTTAGTTCAGTAACTTGTTTCTGCTGCTGCTGGTTGTTCCCTTCCAGCTGCGCCTGTTGCTTCTGCTGAGAACTGCGCTGCTGGATCTTATGTTGTAGCTGCTGCACCTTCAGCTCAGCTCGCTCTCGGGCTTCGCGCTGTTCTGACACCAGCCGCTGGCATTCCCTTCAATGATTTTACATATGAGAAAATAATTTGTGAAATTTTGGCAGGAGCAATAATGCCATCTGCCATTCTGCCAAACAAATTCAAATACACAGCAAAAAATTATTCCAAAAATATTACTAATAAATTTATTTGGATAATCAGTACAAACAAGTAGTCCAGAAAGTAAATGGACATTTATTGAAGTCAGATTACCGAAATTTGACAGCTGCATCATCTGTGTCAGCAGTTCTTTCAGCTTGTAAGGCCTGCAATCTTTGGCGCAATTCCTTGGAATTTGCCACAGCAGCAGCGCGGCTCTCTTCCAATTTTTTCATTTCCTCTTGCAACTGGAAACAAAAAAAAAAGGTTAGAGAAACATAAATATGCCTTTATACAGAAAAGTTATAAATGCATTCAATAAACTGAACATTGAGCAGAAAATATCCAAAACATTATACACGAATTCAGCTTTTTGGTAAAAAAACGGGTTGATTACATGAATGTGTAGGATAAAATGTGATTGATTATCACAACAACTATAATAAATATGGTGACTTTGGCGTTATGTTATTAGAAGCAAATTATTGCTCAATGTACAAAATCATATCAATGCTTGTTACAGGAGGAACCACAATAATGGTCTAAGGGCTTTGGTAGCCCAGGTCAACCAATTTCCTGGTCAAAGTCATTATTTATGGAAGCAAAACTGTTGATAATGAATGAAATAAACTACAAACATACCCTTTCCTGCTCTGTGGTTAAAGATTTTCTTTCCAACAGAAAGTTTTTTTGTAGTCTTTCCTTTTCAGAAGACATTTCTGTTAAGGCATTTGTTAGTTGCTTAACTTTTAGCTCATAATCATAGTTCCCAGTGCCACTACTAGCTTTGATTGAGGACTCCACTTCACAGGTACTTTTCTCTCCATCGCTAAAATTTGGTTGCATATCATTCTCTTTTTTCGACACAGATGACTCAGCATAGTTAAGCTTCCCTTGACTGGTGTGTGACTCATGGTCTGATGCAGATTCTGAAGTTGAAGAAAGATGCTGGGGGGTGGCATTTTGAGTTGAAGACTTGAGAGCATTCAGGCCAGTTTGAAGAGCATCTCGCTCCTTCAAAAGTGACTTGTATGCCCGCACCAGATCTGAAAAATTGGGTGACTTTCACTGTAATATTAGGTAAGGAAATAATAAACTATCGGAGCCCTAACTGTATTTTTGGAAATGTGAATTCATTGAATTAGCAGCCATGAGTAAAAATTTTAGACCATGATTTAGTTTCCAAGCCATGAATTCATTTTTAGATATCAAAATTAAATCTGTGTTATGTGTCAAATCAATAATCTTATTACAAAAAATATTGCTGAAATCATTTTACATTACTTTATAGGCAAAACAGCAAGTTACAATGGAATGTATTCATTTTTATATTATTTTATATGTGTTATATTTATTCATATAACAAAATAAATAATCAACAACAACAAAAATGAGTGGTAATAGTTCAAACTGACCCTAAACATTTACGATTTACCAGGCATGCAATGAGCCTCAAAGAGCTTTCCATCAGTTTTTTACAGGGCAAGATTCAAATTAGATGAATTACTATAAAATGGGTGACTTAGAGGCCACTGACAGGATGACTTAGACCATTTTTAGCACTTACCTTTTTATGATAAAAACATTCACATGTTATATATATAAAATATATCTTTTTATTGCATTTTTAGGTTATCTCATGACTTATGGTACCTACTTCAAGAGCTATTAACACAATTTTTCCAAGGCAATCACTTTTTGAGTATAGGGTTTTCTTTACTTAAATGTCACAATGGTCTCCATGAATGATTCAAGTCACCCTGTTATATTGGATATAAATGTGTGAAATAGCTATAAGTTGAAATTGCATGACTTCGCACATTCATATCTAATTTCTGATTTTCTATGTTAGGTTGATGGTTGGCTGGTTGCCATTGTGCCAAATATCTTGCCAAGATAAGTTTTTGAAATGGAAAATGTCAATATTACATTATTAACATTACTACTAGGTAAGTATTTGTTGCAACTTGCCAAAACTACCTAATCTTTGACCAACCCTTGCTATACATTATACAATGACACAGTAGACAGTCAATTACTCAATTACCATAATTGTATGCATAGTGGCAACAGCCAACAGTGAGATTTAAAAAAATGTAGAACCCAGTGCACTTTCAAATATCCTAGCCTCCTAGGAGTGGCGACTCAAAGGTCAAAGCCAAATATCAACTAGGTAACTTATACTTACCCTTGAGCTTTTTCTCATAATGGGTAATTTGTTCTTTCTGCTGCTCTACTGTTGCAGCAAGATCTTTTCTGTTCATCTTGAATAAAAAAGTAAGTATAGTCTGTAACTCTGTTATGCAGTATTCTTTATCAAGTTGTCAGTATTTAGTTTTAGAATATGGTCAACAGGTCAAGGATTCAAGGTGAAGGCTTATGCCCTCATGGATTCCTTCCGCCTGCCAGCATTCCATAAGAAACCCAGTGAAACTACAGTTGGTAGCCTACTTCGTCTGTGGAAGTAGGTAAGTAGCAAAAAGTTAAGAACGAGTTAGTCGACTATGAGTATAATTGTGAACACAACCGCCATTTAGGAGTGGACCACCCGAATGACCCGATCATCGCTGTTGTGTTGTCACTTGTCACAATCCAGTCCCAGTGGACTTAAATTTTATTACTCAGGCTGAATCAAGGAATTAATAATGCAAGCACAGCATCCGTTTATACACTCTTCCTCCTACGGAGTACGGCTACAAGTACAAAAGAAAAGTCAGTAAAGGTCTTCATCGTTCATAGGTTGGGAATTGATTCTTTCTTCTTCTTTTGGGTGTCCACGCTGGGTGGACTTCCACAGGACAACCGCAAGGATGACCGTTGGGCCTGAGAGCTTCTGCAGGATTGGGAATTCTTTCTTTCTAATTTATTCTTATAGGAGCACTGGAAGCTAGTCCATAAAGCCCCTTGCCTAAACTGGGTTTAATTGGTACCTAACAGACTAACAGCTCTGAAAGTTAAAATCTGAAACAAAGAGAGAACATACACACACGGAAAAAGAAAAAAAAAAACAAGAAAAAAAACTGAAAATAACAGAAAAAAAAATAAAATAAAATAACAAAAAAAATATATAAAAAAAATAAAAATTAAAAAAAAATTAAATAATAATAATAAATATAAATAATACATTATTAATGCAAAATTAAACATAGATAAATAATGATAAAAGTATTGAATGAAATAAATATTAAGGAAAAACAAACAACAAAACAGCAAACAACAAAGAAAATACAAAAATTATAAATTAATAAAAAATCAATCAATAAATAAATTATAGTACAAAAGAACAATAAAATATGAATGCAATAACATAATGACGGCAAA